ATCACATTGTGATTTCTGTCCTGGCTTCTGTCAGGTCACCTCAGTTGAAGGCCATTCCTCATGTATCATCCTTGATTACTTCTCCCTTGAGGAGTCAACATGAGCCATTGTTGATCCATGTGGAACTCCATATGTCTCAAAGTCCAGATGGAATTTTTGTAAGGTACACTGGAATGCCTGCTCCAATGGCACCGCAATTATCCCTCTTCATTAAATTCCCACTGTGACAGCTTATAGTTCACCCATGGTGTCTTGTTTAAAACTGTGTCTATCTCATGTGGCATCCTCCAGTCTGCTTGGTGAACAAACTTGATAATATGATAAAAGATCTGAAAACTGGTATTGCTAAAGAACATGAATGACATGTATCATTGCAAGCCTAACCAACAATATTCCTATCCAGGCAACAAGGTCTTCAGAAATAATTTCAAGGTGTATTTTTCTGTTGTTGTGTGTTGGTATGTGTGCATTATTCCTTTGGTCCAGGAACAATGAATTTCTCATGATTTTGAGAAACAAAAATAACAGTAGCAGCATCTCACTCTTAAAGCATTTTACAGATGAGGAAACTGAGGCAAGAAGGGACAAAGTGACTAGCACAAAATATTTTAATGGGTCACTGGCATAACTGGAAATAGAACTCATATCTCCTGAGACCCACTCCATTTCTCTGTCCACTAAACAACACTGTATTCAACACTCGATAGTCTTTCTTTTTCTAGTTTGGTGCTGTGGTCTTTAAAAGGTTTTTTTTCAGTATGAAAAAATAACATGATTCTATTTTTAAAATGCAAAGATGGTACAACGTTGGAAATATGTATATCTGTTTTACTCATTCTTGTTTCTAATAATGACTAGGTATGAAAAAGTCAAGTACCCTGCTGGGAAAATCTGTTTAGTTCTTTAACAAATTGTATAGATCAGCCCACATTGCGTCAGCAGAGGAATAAGTGGTTCTGATGCTCTCAGGTTTATGTTCCATGTCTAGAAAAGAATGCCTACATTGCCCATGCTAATTGAAAGAATCTGAGCAGTCTTCCAGTTTATTATGATGTGGTGTTTCGCTGTGAAACTGCCAAGTTCACTACTGAGGCCTTCCTTGCTGCATCATATAGTCAATGCTACCTGGCATCCAAATGTAGTTTTATAATCTTGATCTTTTTATAATATAACCCTTGGCATAAGAGTCTAAAAGAAATCTAGTAGAATAATTGTAATAAACTACATAGAGTCTGATTTGTGGGGGGATATCGTACACTTGGAGGAAGGCTGGGATGATCCTGTGTGGTCACTGGAAGGGGCTGCAAATCCACAGCTTTATGGGGTGAATTAATCTACATTGCCCCACACAACTGCTGCAAAGAGTGTGCAAATGCTAGTTCAGTTTTGAGCATCAGCTGTAGAGCTGTAATCTATCCATCTTGGGATAGAGGAGTGAATTCATCTTCTCAGTGCTCCTGAATTCCACTCACATCAAATCCAAATTCTTGGACTGAATGTAAATGGATTGAACGTCATACTTAAAGCACATAATTATGCCTTGCAATTGTCTGTTGTATTAATTCAACAGCAATTGGTTCATATATGCATAATACCAGTATTTGATTATGTTGCAAGTGCCACACATCAACGGAATACAGCAACTTCTTGCTGATTAATCTGGAATATATGCAAATTTAGAGAAAATGTGGCACAAACCCGTGCCAGGCAGTTCAGATACGGCTAATCAGAAACTGTGACACAGGTAATGAAGTTGGTGGGAGAATTTATGGGGGGAGAAAGAGCAAGCACAGTATATAAATGACTTCTAATTTAAGTGAAATTCACTTTGTTAAAAAACCTACCTGTAAATCTTAAAGTGTAAACTTTATTCATATACTGTAAGAATTCATAAAAGCTCCTTTGAAAAGTGGTCTGCTCTGAAAAGTGACAATACAGTGGCATGTTTTAGTGACTCTCCATTACTTCTCTTTTCCATTTACCACTCTGCACATTCAGCCAGAGATCAGGCAGGCAGGCTAGGTTCTTATTTTGTGAACCAAGGTCAAAGGATTTCCAGACCAAATTAGACCCCCAGTAAGACCTGTGTAACTTCATTGCCTTCAAAGAATTTGCACAGGTGTCTTTGAGAGGAATTTAAGAAGCAGTTATGAGGATTATGCACAAGAAATGGAAGCCAATTAAAATTCATAACATTCATAAACAAATCATAAAAGTTTATTTTTGTCCCTGTTAATCCATACCTCCATTCATTCACACAGGAATCAAGAAGTATAGAATGAGGTGTTACTTTTCAGTGTAGAAGTGCATTTTAGAAGTTCAGCTTAAAGGAGAAAGAAACTGCAATGGAATTATATACGCTATACTGTGCCAGTGTTTCCCAGACAGTAGATGTCTGAAGACATTCCTGCCCTGTTTCTGTCTTAGAGCAATGGAGGAAATAAATAGGAGGCAGTGTTTTTGTTCTGTGTGGAAGTTTCCAGTAATATTATTGGAAAATAATAAACTAGCTTTGTTTAAACAAAAACCATGGAGAGCAGAGATGATAAATACTCCAAGGAGACAAATGACGTACAAAGGCAAGTGGGGAGGAGACAGACAAATGTAACAGTGCCTCCAAATAAAATTTGGAAAAATATATGCCAAAGTAAAAATAACAAATTACTAGGTGAGTATGAACTCTGATTTCTTATTTTGAGATTTCACAGCCACTAATTTTACTGTTTTGATATTGGCCTATGTACATATATTTTTTTCAAATGCTATTTGGAGGCCATGTTAGTTTGGGTGACGGATGTACATTGGGTGAGGTAACAGTAGGTGGTAAAGGATTATTGGAGAGGAACTAACTGGATCTCTACTGTGAAAGACTGACAGTTCTGTTCTGAGCCCATCTGTTAGCAGGTGGTGTAGATCCTTCCTAAAAATATGAAGGTAGCTTTTTTTCTTTATATTTTTAATGTGCTCTGTATCTGTCAAAATTAACCTGCTTTAAGACAAATCTGAGCATAATATAAGATAATGCTGGTATGACAGATGTTGACTACTTCACTCAAAACAGCATTCTGCACACTGGTCATTACTAGAAGAAATAATATCTTAAGCATCTGTCCATACACATCTCAGGTATATAAAATTAAAATAGCAAAAGACAAATTAATACCAAAAATAGGAATAGAAGAGTTTATGAAATGGTTGATACCAGTATGTACGGTCGGTTTTAACTGTTTTCTAAATCTGATGTCTACCTAACAGCCAGAAACTGTATTAAAGTTTCCTTGGAATATTTCCTCTACCTCAAACTAATAAAGAAGCAATCCCCTCTAATGTATAAAAGTGTGAAAGTAAACAGTTAAGAGGTACAACCACTTTACTCCAGATAGTATATTCTTTCTTTATTTACAAGCACTTCATGCAAATCATGCCCTCTGGCCAGCCTCAGCTTTGCCCTCTTTAGCATGAGATGATAAAACCTCAGTGCCTTATCAGGGAAATCAGTCTAGCAACCTGTGTATTAATGTCCAAATATTAGCTGGCATATGCATGCATTAGGGTGTTTGTGCCTGAAAGCTTGCAAATAAAGAATTTTTTTTTTGCAAAAATCTAGTTGGTCTAATAAAAGATATCAACTCTACCAGGAGCCCTGATTGCTTAGGAAGGCCTAAGCATATTCATGTTAAGACACCACATTTTCATGGCAATCCAGAATGACAAAGACCATGTTTTCCTTGTCATAGACAGCCTTAGCCTTCATTGAAAACCACACAGAGAATAGATATGTTCACTTGAATCTCCTAAGTGTTTTGCACAGCAGGGTCCTAATTTAACTCCAGAGTAACACATAGCTGTGAGGATGAGGCAGTCACAGCTGGGCTGGGGATTTTGGACTGTGGCTTTCATAGGCAACACGTGCCTTCTGAGACTGGGGGGCACGGCAACAATCCACAGATGTCCACGGCAGTGGCAGCAGCGGCAAGCGAGGACTACCTGCAGGCAACTGCGCTAACATCAGCAGTAAGGGCTGGCTGAGCGGGGACTGTCCGCAGGTGCCTGTGGCACTGTTGGCAGCAGGGAGGTGTCTCCGTGCTGCCAATTGCTGACTGGGGGGTCCCCCCATGGCCACACTGAGCCCAGAAGGTCCAGTGGCACTTGGGAGGGGGCACTAGTGCTCCGTCTGCCTCCTGCCCATCACCTAAGCCGAGAGCGCTTGCTGGGAGGGGGGGACTGGGGCCCTCAGGGGGTCACATGCACCCCTGTGCACCCCCTATGCGTTGCCTATGGTGTCTTTCAACAAGCATTCCCACGTCCCCAGCTAGTCCAGCTCGGCTGAGGACACCCCGAGCTTGGGGCGGCCAGTGTGAAAACAGGCCCACGAGGACGCTGAGTTGCTCTAGCAGCCCCGGACTCCCGCTGAGGCCGTGGGCTAGGCTCCTCTCGGGCTGTCCTGCGGGGCACTGAAAGGCGGGGACGCCCGGCTGTGGCTGAGGCAGCGGGGTGCGAGCTGCGCGCCGCGAGGGGAACGGGCGCCCAGGACTTTGGCCCGTGCCCCGCGAGGCAGCGCTTCCCCGGCGCGGAGCGACCTGTAGAGGTCGCAGGGCAGGTGCTGGCTGTGGAGCCGTCGGCGCTGCCCCCGCCGCACTGAGGCCAGAGGGGGCGCCCGCCGGCCGGGG